GGTGGTGTGACAGTTGCATGAGAAAATTCCGTTCCCAGCAAAGTGCCATTATGTCCAACGTACAAAGAGGCACGATTATTGGAGCTCACCTCGGTGGAGCATCCGTGTCTAGAACAGCCAACCTTATGGGTGTTTCAAGGTCCACTGTGTCAAGGATTATGACAGCCTACATGAAACTGGAAAAGGTGTCCTCTGCAAAACAGAACAGTGGGCAAAAGTCAAAGTTGACCGACTGGGATAGATGAGCATTGAAGAGAATAGTCACCCGAAAATGTAAGACTACACTGCAGCAGATAACCTCTTAGATGAACACCCATCTCCAGAATCCCGTATCCACCAAAACTATTCCAAGGGAGCTGCATGCTGCGAGCATTCATAGCCGAGCAGCCATCCCAAAGCCATTAGTGTCGCTGCAGAATGCTATGAAGCGACAACAGTGGTGCCGAGACCACCAAAACTGGACACAACAGCAATGGGAACAGGCCATCTGGTCTGACAAATCATCATTTACATTATTTCAGACCACCGGACGTGTGTTCGTCTGGCAAACACTGGCAGAGGCATTTCATGTTGACTGTCTGCTTCCTACCGTAAAGCATGGAGGGGGCTCTGTGATGCTGCGGAGAGCAATATCGTGGCATGGCTTGGGCCATTCATAGTCCTGAGGGAGAAGGTCAGAGGTGAGCATTATCGCAGATCATTTACACCCTATGCTTCATACTCTGTTTCCTGGAGAATGTCCTCTATTCCAAGATGACAATGCCCATGTACACATGGCTCACTGTGTTCAAACATGGTTGGATGAGCATAATGATGAAGTGGAACATCTCACATGGTGTCCTCAGTCCCCTGATCTCAACATCATTGAGCCTGTGTGGGGTTTTTTAGAGAACAAAGTCTGTGCTCAGTTTCCTCCTCCATGCACACTACCTGAACTCGAGACTGCTCTGCAGGAGTAATGGCTGCGAATTCCCTTAAACTTTCTGCACGACCTTTATTTCTCAATCCTACATTGGATACAAGCTGTAATTCAGGCTAACGGAGGCCTACCTCCCTACTAATAAATATTTTGCATTCTTTCATAGGTGTTTCTATTATTTTGTCTTATACCTGTATATATATATATATATATATACTGTATATAATTATAGACATAAAATTATGTTTAATTTTAACAATTTTGTAATTTATGTCTAACGTATTAACACATACTACAGGAAACACAGTGAATGCAACTTCCAGGAAGTTGCATTCACTGTGTTTTTGTTATTATACAGATACTAAAACACAAGAACATCTAGACAAGTAAAAAGTAGGCTTATGTTCAGTATGAACTCCATTGTGATCATAGCAATCTGATAGGCACCTTGTTTGCCAAGATGTTTTGCAGAGCTAATCTTGTGTGAGAAGAGAAAATACTCCTATCATTGCAATCTTCAACTCTTCTGTTGTCTGGTAGTTTTGATCAACTTTCTTCTTGATGAAGCCTGCATGGCATTATCTTGCATTGTAAGGCCATAAACTCTTGGTGACTATGGGAGAGGTGCTGGAATACTTCAAATCCATAGACAATTTCATTTGTTTAGGAAAAGTTTTGTCCTAAGCACTAGAAGATACCATAAAGTGAATGGGAGTAATGCTGCATCAAAAGATTATGGTGTTTGCTATTCCTGCCTCTACCAGCAAAGGACAGATTCACTTTTAGAGAATTTCTTCATAACTATCTGATGTGTTTTGAACTATTCTTTTTATGATCATATGAATAAGCACCATAAAGCATCTTGGCAAACTTGGTGCTCTGTTTCGGATTCTGCCATGATTCATGATGGCACTCATATCTTATTCTTGTCCAGAACATCAGTATGTTTTGATATGTAATGTCTATGCCTAACTTGTAATATGAATAAAAAATTAAAGTGATATGATTTTTCAGATACCCTGCATATATTAGTTACTGTATATCATATCACAAACATTTATACAGTGTACATATATGATTTATAATTTTACTAAGATATAGTAAGGTAAACAAGATATACTAAAACTGCTACCACAACAGAAGAAATATCTTAAGAGACTTTATTCTTATGATGAAAAACAGCTAAGACATTTAACTTCTTTGTGCATATTTCATATTTTACCTAGTTATTAAATTTGCAAAAATAATTATTGTGCTTCATTCTTTGACCTCTCTTCACATAGAGAGTTGGTTACTTATGTCCTCATTTACAGACACATCCTTATTTTTGGGGTAAAAATTACTTATCCCATACATTTTGGTTAGGTATTTTCACAATATGTATCACATTGTGAAAATACACCCTTATATTGCATCCTTGCTTCAAAAGTAACAAAAATTACATTTTTTGAGTTATACAATTGTGGCACCCACTGCCAATAAAGGCCAACAGGTGGTGCACAGAGGACATTAAGGGATGAGAAGACGACTCTCAAACTTTTCACTTTTACTCTTAGAAGTTTTCGACTTGACAAGGCTTCAGTGCCCACAAAACTCAGAGCAACAACTATTCGTTCATCTTGTCGATTCTGTAACTTTATGTGTACTTGATTAAACTTAAATGCGTCAAACATATTACTCCCTTATCATTTTTACCTACTCGGTTGCTAGCTACAGCCAACAATCACACAATATTACCATGGCTAACATTATCTTATCAGTCATCAAAGGTGAACAAAATTAATTTCATCATCCATCTGCCTTCCATATAAAGTTCATGAGTTCACTTATAATTTGAAAATACTGCAAGAATATGGTAATAATTTTACCATAGACACTGATAAAATGAAAGTCAAACAGTATGATATTAAGGAACTTAGAGTCAAAAAGCAAGACATTTATACTATCTATAAAATATTCTATTAAGACATAACATTCAAAAAGATCAACATGACAAAAACTATATCTTTTGATGATAATTTAAAATCAGTTTGATTGGTTCAGACTTACTCAAAAGAAAATTCTATTATTTGACAATCAAAAGAAAGACCTTATCGATAAAAATATAATTTCAAACTTTTTAATTCAATTTTTTAAAATTTTGTTGATTTGGTTAACTTTGTATAAAGTTTGATTTTTGATTTAAAGTAGATGATTTTGTTTGTAAAAGCAAATCTTTGTATTTTTTAATTTTTATAATAATAAAATATTTGTTTACTAAAGGTAATATGAGTGTTTCAAAATGCCTGAAATTCAAATAAAATCTTGTTACAATTCAAAAATGATGTTTTTGATGTAATAAAAACATTTAAAAGTGTTTCAGTAGTAATTTTTTAATACAAACATACATCAACTGTCACAACTTAAAATAATTCAGTTCTGTGTTCGAAGTATACCAAAACCATCATAACTCAAAGGATTGTGAAACAAACATGGTATATTGATCTTGTTTCTAAGAGTGAAATCGTTTTGCTGATATTATTTGATTAGTCAATAATAATCTATCTAGTTAAAAAATAGTTTTTTTTTTGTTTTCTGGAAAACTTAATTTTTTTATTTGGTCACTTTTGAAGCAAGAGTTCATTATATACTTGAATAAAAATTCAAAGAAACATGGTTTAAGATTTTCAAAACACTGATTTAAATATTTGAGAAAATGTTTATGACTAAATATTCTTCTCAATGATTTTTCACATCAATAACCTTGTCAAAATCTTAGGATATTGAAATATTATTATTAGCTATAAAAAAAAATCAAAACTAGAATATAAATAATCCAATATATACTCTAGTAGTTTTTCCATGAAAGCTCTTAAGATAAAAATTAATATACAAAAGTCCTAACAAAATATAAGACAACAATTATATCAATATATGTATTTTTGATCACTTTAGTTAAATAATTAACTTTTTCAAGTGTAATTAAAAATTGTTTTCAGTTATATTTTTATTTAATTTACTGTATAATGTAATAAATTTAAGTTGCAAAATAAAAAAAAAAGTTTAATAATTTTCAGTTTTAAGTAAAAGATTATAATAAGGTGAAGTAAATCTAGTGTAAAAAAGGTAAGTTAATGATCATTTATATCCCAAATGTATTATTTTATGTTTTGAAATAAAATATGAATGTTTAGATATTGTATTTATGTATATTACTCTAAATGATTAGCTCTTGCACATCTGATGCAAATCATTAGAAATATCAGATAATTAGAAAGATAATTTTATTATTTGCAAGTTAAAATAAAATATAAGATCTATGGAGTACAGTTAAAAGTTTAAAGCATCTGAGTACCTAGACTCACATTTAATGAGTGATTATCACTTCTGGGAATTTTATAAGCAAGCCCTTGATTGTAAAATAGTTGAAACTTAAGAAGCAGCAATCTTATTTCTGTGAAAAGTGATTCAAACAAAACAATTACTTAATCTTTTCTTGTTAGTTTTTGATTCTAAAATCCAAAACAATTCAAATTTCCACCTCTTCGTAAAGAGAATTTATAAATGCAAATATACAAACCCAAAAGTTATAAAGCCAAACCATTGTCAAATTATATCAAGCTACATAACTACTAGTATTATTAATTAATTAATTAAATAATAAGTAATTTGGAACTAGACGCAGACATTATTAAATTTAGCAAGGAATTATGCTTAATTATATTCATTAAATTTAAATTTTAATAATTAATTTAGGAGATTCTGGAGAAAAGAAATCAGTCCAAAGCAAAAGTTGCACATTTGAATCCTGCTTTAGGCCAATTTCTTTCTTCCAGAATCTTTGAAATTATTAAAATATTAATTTAATTATAATTGTTAAATTTAGCAAGAGATGGTACCTAATACCTGCCTCTAGTACCAAATTACTTAACATTTAATTAATAATACTAGTAGTAATATAGCCTGATATAATTTGGCAATCATTTGGCTATAAGAGACTAATTTTTTTTCACTTAGAATATGGATAATGAATTAAATAAATAATTTGAAACAAAGATGTTTTATAAAAATAGTTTTATATTTCATTTATGTGTAATTATTTCTTAAATGAGTTTAAAATATCTAAATATTTAATTTAATTTCTATAAATACTTTACACTCAGCATTACATACTTACAAAATGGCATAAAACTGATTGTATACAAATATATGATTTCAAAGTTATACAGATATCATACATTTCTATATAATTTGTGAAATCATGTTTATGTATATAATTAATGTTTTATACCAATACAGTAATTATTATATGATAGATAAAAGTATTTTCTACAATCATTATTTTTTCCATTAAACATGTAGTCTAAGAGATACTTAGTTCTGTCAAGAGTAAAGATATCTTGAACTATATGTTTAATGGGAAAAAACAAAAAATAATAATAATAATAAATACATTTTTATTTTTCAACTGAACAATTGAGTATATTATTACTTGTTAACAATGATAATATAGCACTTTTACTTGAAAGTCTTGCTTTATTTTAATCATTTCATTAAAAGAATATTTTTAATCAGCATTCTGCCATATGTCATAAAACACAGAAATACAATTGAATCTATTTCAATAATGCCACTTAATATTTTAGCAATGTCAATTTAATATTTTAAAATTAGAAAACAAATCTCTTGTTATTTTTAACGTATAATGTCTTACGTCTTTTAATTGCTTATTATAATTATTCATATTTATGCACAATTCAGAATTAATAAAGAATATTAATTTAAATTATGAACAATTACAATTTGCATTAAAAGTAAAAACAACTTAGTTTGATTTCTATTTTAAAATTTAATTTGACATTGCTATTACAGTTTTCAGTGACATAACAATTTTAAAATAAATGTTGACGATAGTAATTATATCTTGTAAGAAGTTATAAGCATAAATTTATTTCCTAGTAAAAATTAAAATTATTTTTAACTTGTTAATTTCAAAGTCCTCAATTTTTGTATAAAGTGCTCATCACTCTGAAGATGTTGAATAATTTCTTCCTGATTGCTAAAGAAAGGTATGTTACAGATTTCACAGCCCTGCAATTTTGGTTCCATTTCTGGAATCATCCCCATTCTTGATACTGATGATTTATAAAACTCATCCCATAAATGACTATTTGATGAAGTTGGTACTGATTCTTTCAATAAACTATGTTTTTGAAATACACCAGATTGTTCATCATCATATACTTTCATTTTACATTCATACATTTTCTGTAATTCAACACCAGGATCTAAACTTACATTTTGGCTTTGGTTTGGTAAATTAAAAGAATTAAAGGAATTATTAGAACCGAATCTGCCAGAATTCATACTACTATGCGTACTTCCACTACTACAACTACTGGCAGAACTAAAATAACCATCATCAAACATTTTCTTTTTATCTTTCAATGATGATTTAAATCCAGTTTGTTTTGGATTTAAATTATAACATATGTCTTTCATTACATCTTGTCGTCGAACATTTTTCATATGAGTTGAACCATTCATGTGTTGTTGAAAAGGAATTACACCACTAAATTTCATATTACACAAAGTGCAAAATAATTTCCCCTCTTCTGTTACTGGTAATTTAATAGTTGCTTCTAATTCAATTTGATTTTTCTTTTTCAAATGCTTTGCACTTTTCAAATGTTGAGAATATGGTACTACACCACTAAATGACTTCTTGCATAAGTCGCACTTTAAAACATCATCACTCATATCGTATTATTTAGGATATCTGAAAAATTTTAAATAAAAACATTTTAAAATGCTAATTATAAAACATAATTCAATGATAATAATTCAATTCAAATCTTTAATAACTGTACTACTCATTCTATTATAGGTAAGTAGTACAGTTAATATTAACAAAATATTAACAATTATGTAAAAGTTACTAAAAATCAGATTAAATTTAACAATAATTTAAACTTCTAGAATGAATTAATGTTTCTATAAATATAAATAAAATCAAAAGAAAATATCATAAATATTTTAATTAAAAAAAAAAAAAACTAGATAAATTTATCATAGAAAGAAATTTATTATTTGTATATACAGTATCCTTATTTTACACTAAGGATAGGTTCTTGGAGATGCCAGCATTCATTGAACTTGCATATATGAATGAAAGTTCTTTCATAACTTAATACATATAAATTTTTTATATTAAACATAGCATTATATATACTACAGCAAAACTTGCAAATGCCAGAACTCAATAGGAATATTTTGTTTTTCCATGTATCATGGTTTTTCACCCTGTTGGTGATGAAACATGGGTCTTACCTCTTTTATTTTGCTTTATATTGCTTATACAAAGACCCTGAACATGATCCTTTACATTTCTATGAGAGTGAGTGAAAAAAATAAGAACGATTTACATGTTTATCATTTGTTAGAGATATCTACATATATTGTAAAGATTTTACACATAACTAAGTGGCAAAGTTCAATTTTTAATAGGACAATATAATGTTAATGGGATTAAATCAGAACAATTCTTAATGCAATGGTAATCAAACAGAAAAATGGAAGTATAATGGGATAAAGCCAATCTTAGTTTTGAAAGATAAACCTAACCACTCACTTAGGTCTTTAGTACAATATCACATTCTAGAAAATAAATTTTCAATAATAAATGAACATAATGCATACATCTTAGTGCATGTCAAGTATGTTTTTTTTTTATCCTTTGTTAATCTTAAAAACTAAATTCAGTTAATTCTATCTGTCCATCAAAAAGGAAAAAAGCAAGTATTGATTAGGTCAGGGAGGAATGAAAAGCAAAGAAAAGCAAAGGTCATGCTGGCATGCACAGCAGATGGTCATAAGTTGCCACCATACATCATACTGAAGCGAAAAATAATCACTAAAGATGAAACTTTTCCAGGAGATGTTGTTATTCGTTGCCAAGAAAAAGGCTGGATGAACAATGAACTTATGATTGCCTGGTTAAAAACAGTATGGCTACATTGACTAGGTCATTTGAATGCATCTATCACTAAAATTGACAGTAGTCAGTTTTAGTGATAGTTGCATTCAAATGACATCTCACAGATTACGTTATAAACCTACTAGGGGAAAATAAAAGCACTCTTGTGACGATTCCTGGAGAAATAACATCACAATTACATCCCTTGGATATATGCATCAACAAGCCAGAAGGGAGTTGGTTCATTTGGATTAATCTAAAAACATTGCTCAGGGAAAAATGTCTACAATCTACCACAAAAATAAAACAATTTAGGAAATTGCTATATTATCCCTTAGCTGAATCCAAGACAGAATCCTTGAGATTAACTGTTTAATAACAAATACTTTTATTATTTCGATGCAGTAGAAATCAACTTTCAAACAAGTACAGTAGAACCTCCATTATCCGGACCTCTATTATCCGGATTTTTCCTTATCCGGACTACC